CGAAAAGAATAGCAGCCTCTCCACTGGCCACGGCCACGCCGGACGTCGCGTTGCATGGGGTAAGATTGGCTGAAATTGTCCCAAGACCCAATAAGCTGCACGGACTGGGTCGAAGGGTGTGTTTGACTGGGGATGCATGTCAGCGCCCGCCGCTCAGAGCCACGCACGATGCATCGGGCCACGGCATCGAAGGGGAATAGAAGAAAAGAAAAACATGGGAAATTGCATAAAACAGCCAGCCACACACGCGGGCTCCCCAGCCCAAGGGAGAAACGGCACTGGGACTGACTGGCATGACAGCTGAGAATCGTGGGGAGCGAGACCAGGGAGACCAGGTACACCCAGCATCCATCAACTGTTTGGTCAACTGTCCACTGCAACCAGCAAATAGTTCCAGAGAGATGGAGTCCATGGATACCCGCCTCTGCAGTGAAGCCCAAACCCAGCCAGCCATCTGCCAATGCAATGCCATGCCATGCATGCACGCAACTGCACGCTCGCAGAGGTTGGCCGTGATGGGACCGGCGCTGACTTCAGCTCGCCTCCCTTCTCTCGCTCGCGTGGCCCAGAACTCAAAAGAAAGCATCCAATTCAGAAAACAAGATTTCCAGTTCGTGTCTCAGACAACAGGGGTTGACCGGGGGTGAGAGCCAGATTCAGAACAGATTCATGCGAGGGTATAAATAAAACAGATAGAGCGAGCATACCACGGCAATTAAGACACTTTTGGGGTGATAAGTGCCAATCCCGGTCTTAGAAGGGAATGACAACGTTCGACAATTGAAACACAAAGGGAATGTAAGGAAATTGCCTCTAGAGGGCAAGTAATAAGAATGAATGAATCAATGGCTCAGGTATCGTTTAACCCGGCGCAACGGTCCGGAAACGGCGAATCGAGACAGTGGGTTCAAGATCGATCGGCCAGCGAGAGGCGGAGGAGGAAGCAAACAATGACAGGCAAACAATGGCCAAGGAAAAGGAAGGACGAAAAGAAAGAAAAGGTCCCGACTCACAACATGAAAGTGAAGAGTGTCGTTGACGGGTCCATGATGGGCAACAGATGGAAGGGTCCCCCCGATGTAAATATGTAGCAAGATGCACGTCGTCGTAGGGATGATGGACGAACTCGGATCGATCCAATTTGGCCCCGCAGCAACGGCCCACGACGGCGCCTAAACAAACCTCTGTTGGGAAGCTCGGAGAACTGGGGATCAATCAATAATAGCAGCCGGATGAAACACCACAAGGCGCCCGCCGCATGTTCAGACAGACGCGAAGTGGTTCTCGAGACTTGAGGCTGGCCGCTGAAGTCTGGAGTTGAGACTCTCAGATTACTGCGAATTTGGTGACGAGCCAGAGCCGGCCAATGGGAAAGCGAGACCCAGCTGAGATGGATGGACGGTAAGCGCCGCGACGGGGTGTCAGGTCGAGCTTTGACGAATGTCGAGGTGTACCAGACAACGGGGTGGATAATGGATTGCGGCACGGTACGGGCGCTTAAGCGCAGTGCAGGGCAAACAAAGAAGCGCAGACCCTGAACGACAGACAAAGAACGAGGCGAAGCGTGGATATCCGGGCCTTGAAAGCGAAGCAACGTGCCGTACAGTAGCGAACAATAGTAAGAATGAAATAAGACGCGCCGGGCGGGGGGTCGCGGGCGGCTAGTGACGCTGCTTGCTCCAAAGTTCGTGTCGCCAGCGACGCTCGGGAGTTGAGTTGTGGTCCAGGAGTGGCCGAAGCTGGAAAGACCGGGACTCGATCGGAAAGAAGGCCCAGCGCAAGTTGTCGTCGCCGCTAAATCGAGCTGCTTCTTCTTCTGCTGGTGGTCTTGCTTTTGGCGGTTTCAGATGAGGAATGGGGGAGAAGGTTAGAGAAGAGGGAGAGATGCAAGTTGGAGAAAGAGATTGGATGTGGGAGGAGATTAGTTGCTATTGCGAATGGGCATGGCGGAAGGAGCGGGAAGACCAAGCTGTGTCTGGGGATGGGGGAAAGGAAGGGCTTCTTTTCTTCCTTCCTTCCCTACATTAATTACGTCTTACCTCGCCAATCTTGAGCGAGCAGGTAAGCCAAGGAAAGAAACTGGCCAACAGGATAAATGACCTCAGCTCAGCCATGCTCGAATTCAGCTTGGGCTCTCTTTTTTCCAATTGCGATTGGGGGCCCCGGGACCGGTGAGTGAGACCAGCTGAAGAAGAGGCGATCGTGAGAGGCTGAGAAGCCACGAACCATGCACGAGGGGCGTCGGCGTCCAGGGGGGCCATGGGGGTGGGAGCGCCTCTTCTGGGTTCGGTTCAGCAAGCGACATCAGGTTTGACCAAGCCTATTGGCCCTGCGCTACACTACAGGATGTGGCCCAGCTACTATCGACAACCGTGGAAAGGCTCCCGCCCTTTGATCGTCGTCGATATGTGCAGATTGCATCCCATCGTTCTCTGCGCCCCCCGTTGTTAAAGTCTATCCAACGGTGCCGCCGAAAACGTTCAACATCCTAGACACATTCGAGACGGGGGAGGCCACCGAAACCATAAAACTCTGTGACACGGCGGACACAGAGAGACAATGCGAAACGGCCCTCAACTGGCGACATTTCAGGGGAACAGGTTCGCGGGCACGGAGCGCGCGGGTGGCATCTTGATGGGCGATGGTCGACAGGGAACCTGGTGTTTAAAGCCTCTGGCTCTCATGATTGGCTACCACGCATCCACTAGACTCCTGGAATGATTCCCAAAGGGGAATTCGATAGGAGCTGGAAGCGGCCTAGCGATCAGCCTGAGACCATTGCGGATCCAATCCTTGGCAAGGATCATGGGGGTTCAAGGCCAGGGGGTCTAGAAGGCTGTACAGGACATAAATACTAATGCGTTGCACGCGCAGTCAAGTGTCTGACTTATTCTGTGCACAAGTTTCCAGAGACATTCTAACCCTTGTGCGGCCAAAGGGGGAGGAGGGGCGGGTGCGCTTGGGATTGGAGAGATGCACACGCGATGCAATGTGATAGGTTACCAGCATTTCAACTGCAGAACGGGCTATGTCAATTTTGTCAGAAATCAAGTTGAGAAAAGGTCGACTCTTCAGGTGTAATCATGAGAGCAGACAAGAACCAATCAATCGCCATCAATCGGGTAGCTTCTCTGGATGCCTCCACTAAATACAACCCTCCTGAAATCAGGGTCTCTTTAGTTCCCCACACAAGCAATCAACCACTCACGGCCCGTCTGGGATCGTCGAACCGCCCATCTGAAACTCTCTCGCCTAGCATGGCATCATCGTCAGACATAGAGAGCCGTTCCCAGCGATGAATGATGTAGAGCTTCTGACAGCAGGTTTCAAGCAGAGTGGCCGGAATCAGTGCAGGCAGGTTGATGCGCAAGTCAGGCAAGGCATTCAATGCATCGCATGCCGCGGCCTATGGTCGCCCACGTCACCTGCGACCACACCATCTCATCAGCAGCCGCTGCTGCTGGTTGCCGCTTTCAGGACGTGGTGCAGCTCCCGACGGTTGTCAAGATGCATGATTTCAATAGTTGGACATATTGTGTCTCGGACGCACAAGGCCTACAGTCGACGATGCACCCGGCTCCCCGTCGGTGCAACCAGCTTTCTCTGGCATGACATTCACGATACTCTGTGCTTGCGTGCACGATATTTGCTACATACCTGTACCTGGGCTAGGCAGTCACCTTCTCCATAAATCCTTGGGCATCTGGAGACGTCCTAATGAGGCTCTTCATCTCCAGCCCCATCTCCCCTGCGGCGGTGCACGTCGGTGGGTGGCGGTGGGCTTTGACGTGTGGAGCTTTTAAAAAAAACGTTCGAGAAGGGAAAAGACGATGATGGGCCGCTAGAGTTGAACGTCGGCAGACGGATCATTGAATATGACCTTAGGGAACCTAATGCGGTTGCTTGTACGACTTCTTGCTGAAACAAGCTTGTCACTCATAAAAGTGTTAGCATGAACGCGTACGTGAAGCGTAACACAAGAGCAAAAAGAGTCAGACGTGAAGATGAGCATTCCACCTCATCTCGCCCTGTCCATCAAGTTCTTCCATTCCATCGCAAGCCACCTTATCCCAGCCATAGTCCGGCAGCCCCGAGATTCTCAAAAAGCAAACGGCACCGTATCTCATATTACCCAGCCATCTTTTTATTTCTCCGACTAGTAATTCACGCAAGGCTGTCTAGTTGTTAGCTCACACGCATGGAATTTGCTTGTCTCTCAACTCCATTAAACTTGATCAAAGCGCCCCTTGTTTCGGATCGTGCAACCACATGGTGAACTTCGGAGAGACGAAAAAGAGAGCTCCGAGAGCTTCCGCCGAATGCGGCCTAACCGCCTGCTTGTTTTCTTCTTTCTGTGTCTCTCCCCAATTCACGGTCATGACCTGCATCTGTGCATTTCAGCTGGAGTGGGCGGGCATCAATCTCAGCTCATGAGAAGAAAAAAACAACAAGAGATACATCACTAGGGCTGAAATGTGGAGATTCTGCATGTCACTCCATTTTTGATTGACGCTGTCAATACCACTTATATTGGACCGTTGATATTGGCGTCTCATATGGCTGATATCCCATTACATTTAGAGTCTCATCAATCTCGCATTCAATGCCCATGACAACCAGCATTTCCCTCTTGAACCTCTTTGTTCCAGAACTCTGGTCATGATGAAGCGCCAGATGTGCATCGACCATCCTGCGCACCCCGTCCCTATGCCCATTGCCAGTTCACGCTCCCCTCGTTCGATGTTTCCTTTGTCCCCCTGGTCTGCTGTTGTCCATGCCAACATCACACCATTATCTTTGAGATCCATTCAGGAACCAGTTCTGCACGCGCGCGCCAGATGACGGCCGCAGGTTTACACGTGTCAATTGTCATGAGCTCGAAAACTAGGTGGTTACCATCACATGGATACCTCGGTAAACCTCAATCCTTTCAGCATGTTCATGCTCAATACAGCACTTGTGCTCTTGCTTCACGTCCAATTGCAAATGAAATAGTAATGATGATGATAATGATTCATTCCAGTCTTGCTCGATAGGCAACCCTAGATACAGCCTTTGTACACCTCCCCAGATATCCATAACATCCATCATGCCATTGTCCTCCTGATTCCGAACCTTTCCGCATTACACAAGACCCAACACGCGCGCCCATGGTTGGCGTTTCCATAATCTGTATTGTATGCCCTCTCACCGCCAAACCAAACTCAACTTGCCTCACATCTCAAGGCCCTAACAAATATCGTACAACATGTATGAAACAATTCGGAAAGACGTTCCTTGTCCACCCGACACCAACATTCTCGGAACGCCTGCCCCTGCCCCTCGGTTGCCGGTCCCCTTCCCGTCATGACAGAGGGGAGGCCAGAAGCAGAGGGTGTAAGAATGGTACTTTGAAGATAACGAAAGTAGGTTGAATGCATTATCCCAGTGGCTTCATCCACCGGGTTTCTCATTAGAGCCATGAATTAAAGGTTGATATTATTACCGTCAGCTTCGAGCCGTCTTGAAAAATTGTGATGCTGGTAATGATGCTTGCTGTCATGCCCCGCCATCAAGAAACATGATGAAGGGCATCTCCCAGATAAGTGAACTAGACCGCGCACCCGGGCGATATCCATGTAAAGGTTTCTTTTTTGTTGTTTCGTGGTTTTCATATTCATATGCCCATGTGCCGAAAATCGATCAAGTCGCATGTGTAAGCTTACTGCTTCTTGGCCTCAGTCTTGGCCTTCTTGATGCCAGAAGGGTGGTTGGACCGCTTGCCCTTGTACTTGGTGTCCAGCAGAGTGTCCCAGAAGGTGAAGAATGGCTGGGCAAAGTTGGTCTTGATGCCCCAGTGCTGGTGGTGAATGTCGTGGTACGCGGCATTGTTGCTGGTGATGAGCTGGAGGGGGTCCCAGGGGAACTCGTAGCCGCAGTGGTCATCGACAGTCTTGATGGTGGACATGGCAAAGAGCCACATGCCCTGGCGGACGGTCATGAAGGTGGCCTTGAACGAGATAGCCGCGCCGAGGGTATCGAGGAGGAAGCCCTCAACAGGGTGGTTGTACAGAGCGCCGTAGGCATAAGGAACGTAGAGTCGGTGGTGTCGCGAGTGGAAGTGGGCTGTGAAATCAAGTTAGCACGCTGCAATGCCGCGTCCGGGGAGAGCCATCATGAAACTCACCATACAACCACTTGTTGACGTGCATCAGACGGTGGAGGAAGTACTGCCAGGTGTCGATGATGGAGATAGCGACAAAGAACTGGACAGCGGGAATGAGGAAGTGGTAGATGACCTTGGCCACGTTAATCTCCCACGAAGCAAAGGCCGGCTCGTTGGTGGCGGTAACGAGCGAGGGGTAGTAGCCACCAGCGAGAGCGCCGGCCAGCAGCGGGTGAGATTCGAGGAGACTCTTGGAGATGGCGGTAGCGTTGAAGCCAAAGACTCCCAGAACAGTAGGGAGGACTCTCTGAGCGACACGGATGCGAGTGGCCCAGACAGCAACATCGTACTCGGACTTGCCGACCATCTCGGGAGGCTCGGTCATTGCGAGGATGGCGCCGGTGATGACCTGGATGACCTGTTGGAGGATGACGTCGCGAGCGACCTCGTACCGGGAAACATGGTTGCGCTTGGTGATCTCCTCGGGAGTGTGTAGCCGATACTGAGGGAAGTAGTCATAGACGTCGATAGCGTGGAAGGTCAGGGACAGGGCCCAGTAGACGACGACGGGGATGACGAGGGAGAGCCAGAAGTCTGACATCCACGACAGGAGGTCAGGCCGAGTCTCGAGGCTGAAGGTCGGCAGCGGCGGCAGCGCTGTCTCGAAGAGAGTCTGGTTAAAGGGGGAGCCTGGAGCGGCCATGGCGGAACCGTCGGCGAGGATGGAGCTGTCGTTGCCCATGACGGTTAGATTTGCTGCGAAAAAAAGCGTCGGAGCGTCGCGTATCGTTGATGGTTTTGGTTGAAGCAGGGAGAGACTCAGGGTGCGGCTAGGTTGGCACGCAATAGAAACAGCGCCAAAATGAAGCAATCAAGAAAAACAAAACAAGACCCAAGATAGCACCTCGAGGGGGAAGATTTAAAGGAAGGTAACTAGCTGGAGGTAATGAGGAGGGTTTTATGGGAAAAGGGAGCGTCGATGGGATGGGATGTCGAAGCCAAGTTTATTAAACTGGAGTTGGGGGAAAGATTAGATTAAGGCGCGTGCCAATCCTCGTCCGCGCGCGCCGCTGGGGCCCTCTTTTCGTCTCCTTCATGTGGCGCCAAGCAAAGACTTTTGCTACTTGCCAGTGAGGAAAGTGATTGACCGAGGCGGAGCCCCGTCCGGCACCTTCGGACCAAGTCAAGAGTGCGAAACGCGGCCAGATCCTGGGAGCTGAGCAGGGGATGCGAGGGGATGCGAGTTGCTGTCTGCTAATCAATCTTGTCCTTGTCTGCTTTCAATGGATGTCAATGATACCTTGTTAATCATGACCTTCAGAGTGCAATCTCAGGTACAAGTTCTAACATTTGCCTCCCCCCGGTGGTTGCATCATGGGGTCAAGAGGCAAAAAAGCGAGTTACCCTTACAATCAGCCCACGCCCATTTCAGGGCGGCCCGGTATCAAGTCATATTTCAAAAGTCAGGCACAATCGATCTACCAGGGCTCTAGCTTTGTCATTTCAAGGGGGAGAAACATTGTTAGTGCGCAAAGCAAACTCGTTCGAACCTCGCTCGTACGAAGGGCTGACGCGCCAATTGATCTTCCTTTGCAATGGCATGTTTTCTCATCCTCCTCTCCCCAAGCTGCCCCCAGCCCAAGCCCTGTGCCCTGCGAAGCCTCCTTGTGGCTCGCGCCATGGAAACGTCACCAACAGGTCATGGTGATTTCGCACTCGCTATCGTTGGTCTGTCTTTGCGAGCTCTGCGCACGGCACATGTCGGTATTGGAGCATTTCTCGAGGTCATGCCAGTTCGTCTCGCGTAGATTCGCTGCCCCAAAACCCGAAGGTCCCGACCCTTTACTCGTTTAGACCCTCGATGAGATGATTGTAGATGAGTTCCCTCCCGCGTATAAGCCCGGGCCAAAGTTGACCCCTGGTGAATCGACGGTCGGGGTGGCGTTCCTTCCCAACTCGGAATACAAGGCTCGGAGCGGGCTTGCGAGGGCTCCGGCCGCCGGACCAGACGGCATGACGGGTTTGATCTGGGGTCCTTCTCTGCTCTCTGTTCAGGGGCAACCATGACTAAACTCGCTTATCGGCCGATCCAATGCTTTCCTGCATTTTATGCACATGTCAAGCTCTACTCTCCTATGGGGTCGCAAAAATAGGGACCCGGAATAACATTGGTGGGCGCGCCACAGCCAAAATCAAATCACTCTGGTCGTTTTGGCAACGCCGAGGTGATCTTTCGAGAGCTCTGGTGCAATTTTCGTACCGACAGGGGTATTTGGCCAATTAGCATGTAGAGAGAAAAGTGACTTTTGCTGCAGCTTAAATTAACACACGATGTAAGTATCGCCGCTTACTTGTGGGTTAGAGTTAGACCTCAAGGACACAAAATTTGACTCCTTAAATCAGCCGCTTCTCCAGTAGTGACAAAGTCAGTCACTAACAGATCTTATCGATAAGACCCGAGCGGGGCAAGTACAATACTTGCACCAAAACCTGGCGCCCAAAGCCCCACCAGACAATGACCCCGCCACCCTCTCCCACTTTGATTTTTATCACCATCAGGCTCTCCTCCTCTGGTCTCGCTTCTCTTTGCCAGTCACATCAGCTTCTCTCTCCCTCCAAGTCCATCCTTTCAGATCCAACCCAACCGTCACCATGATTATCTTCAAGGTAAGAAACACCCGTCACTCGATCTCGTCCCCCGCAATGCCGAAATCCCCCGCCTTCGACATACAACGACCCCGCGTTGGACTTTGTGGACTTTGGCATGATCTTTTTTTTACTGAACCCCGCAACAACAGGACATCCTCACCGGCGACGAGCTGATCTCCGACTCGTACGACCTCAAGGAGGTCGCCGGTACCGTCTATGAGGCTGACTGTGCCATGATCGAGGAGGGCGGTGTCAACGTCGGTATGTACTCAACTCTCTGTTACACTGTCGACCAAGCTGTGCCCGACGGCCCGCGGTTCGTGGTGTTAACAATTCTGTCCCACGCTAACACCACATTCTCTTAGATATCGGTGCCAACGCTTCTGCTGAGGAGGCTGAGGAGGCCCTCGATGACACCGTCGTCAAGGTCAACAACATCGTCAGCTCTTTCCGTCTCCAGAGCACTTCTTTCGACAAGAAGAGCTACCTCACCTACCTCAAGGGTAACAATTCCTCTTCCATTCGGTCGAGACCCGTCTCTAACTATGAATCCAGGCTACATGAAGGCTGTCAAGGCTGCTCTTCAGGAGAAGAACGCCCCCGCCGAGACCATCACTGCCTTCGAGAAGGGTGCTCAGGCCTACGTCAAGGAGCACCTCCTGCCCAACTTCAAGGACTTTGAGTTCTACACTGGCGAGTCCATGAACCCCGACGGAATGTACGTTTTCTACTCCACTATCCTCAGTCAAGCTATATAGGTTACTAACAATGACCACAGGGTTGTCCTCCTCAACTACCGTGAGGATGGTGTCACCCCCTACATCATCGTCTGGAAGCACGGTCTTACCGAGATGAAGGTTTAAGCTGGTGAAGCGTGGTGGAGGTGCTGCAAGTTCTGCTATACCCGTGATGATGGACGGGCAAGCACCTATTTAGAAGATTACGAGCCACACGAAACTCGTCCTCGGCGCTTGGAATATCCCCCGAGACGTATCGATGAAATGAAAAAAAGAAGGCTGCAGATTCCAATCCAGTCTGATCGTCACGATGTCACCAATTTTCAGTCTAACATTCTAATGATCGCGAGTGATGCTATGTATGGACGGCATGGAAAGATAGTGGACAAAACTCCGAATACGCCCGGCAATGCTGATTTGTTTGTTTATCCCAACCAAGACAAGACAGGACTGGACAGAAAAGGTTTGCTCAAAATTGCGGCCTCGTTGCCATGGGAATAGGCGGTGGTCCATCATCGTCGGCGGGGGCACTCGGGGTCACCGAGGCCACGAGGGCCGGCTTCTTCTTTGGCGGGGGTGGAGGTGGCTTCTTCTTCCCTACAAGACCTGACAGGGATGGAGAAGGGGACGGAGAAGCAGCTCCAGCCTGAGCTCCCTGACCCTGCTGAGTGCCTTGTACACTGGCATATGAGCTCTTTGCCTTGTCCATAAGCCCGTACTTTTGATTGAGGTTGTTGGCCGTCTTTGCTCCTGCAGCAACCTGCTCTCCATGACGCCGGCGGAAGTTGTTGGCGGTGCCGGCAGCCGCCCGGGCATCGGAGAATGATACCGATGAGGGATCCTTTTGGAAGTTGGATGCTGTCTTGAGGGCAGCTTGCTTTTGCGCCCATGTCGTTCCTTCGCTTGGCGGCTCCGCAGCGTTGGCGTTTGATGTTCCGAGCTTGGAAAAGCGGTTCTGCAGTTCATTCATATGCGAGGGAGTAGCAGGAGGCGAGGCAACTCCTGGACGCGGGGGCTTGGGCGGACCATCAGACTCTGAAGCCGCAGGACTGGAACGACCAATGCCAAAGGCAGGGACCGATACGCCTGCTGCGCTCAGACGGCTGATGGCTCCTTGGTTCAAAGACCCTTGGTTGATAAGGGGGTTGTTCGAGGGAGCTGGGCTTGCAGCACCAGACGAGACTGTACTGCCCGAGTTGGTTCTAGGTGGTAGACGGGGCGGTAAGCTGGGAGGCGCAGATCTTCCTCCTCCAACGGCTGCCATGGCAGACTGATACGACGGTGGCTCCGCAGGTCGTCCATCAGCACCGTCTCTCCTACCCGGCGGCTTGGGGAGGTGGTTCGTCGCAAGGCCTGTGGTGTTGGCACGATACGGCCCGCGGGGCTTGGGCTCCTCCTCTTCCTCCGGCTCAGCATACTGAGGCTCCTCGACAACAGGTGCCCGCGGATCCATGTACTTGGATGGAGCGGTGATGACCTTTCTCGGCCCCGTAGGAGGCGGCGGAGGCGCAAGACCAGAGCCGGTACGCTTTGGCGGTGGCGCAAAGGTTGACGGGTCCTTGAGCTGGGAGAGAGGCACGGAGACGTGATCGGAGCGTTCGTCGTCGGACTTTTTCCTATGAAGGAGGCCATTCTTGAAGATATCTCGTCAGCCGCGGCGGCGATAGTGAAAGAAGAGGCGAAGGACGACTTACCATTTGACCTTTGATCCTCTCGCCCGGCTTCTCCGGGTGCCACCCCTTCTTCATGATATCTTTATACTTGGACCCCGTCGACATGATGACAATATCCAATGGTTGAACTTAGGGGAAGTAGGTATAGGTGAGGTCAGAATAAACAAGGTCAAAAGGAAGAGGAAAAAGAGACACACGAGGTTTGGGCTTAGCTCAGAGGGAGCCCAAGTCCGTCCGTAGGAGGGGGACGTTCCCCCAGTGGAAAGTGACGTACTTTCAGCCACAATTTCGGAAGCGCAGCCGCGCCACAGGTTCGTTCCTTTTTTGGCGGGGTCATGTTTGCTCGATTGGGAAGGTTCGGATCTTGTGAGTATTTGACGCCTTGCGATTCAGGCGCAGAGATTTGGGTCTTCATGATGCCGCCAACTTACAGGCAGTTTGTAACACATCACTAAACATGCTATGATTGGAGTTTCTAAGGATATTCATGTTGAGGATTTCAGGTTCATTTTATGTTACAAGATCTCAAGAAATCCGATTTTCCTCCCATTGCGACTCAGCCCATGAATTGAATTGAACCACTCCAATTAACGCGACGAGACGCGTCTAAAGTGCCAAACCATCATCCCCACCACAGCCACGACTCTCCAACCCGACCGCCTACAACTCCAACCACAATGGCAGCTCCAGTGTCTTCAGACTATGAGCTTCTCACGGAGCACTTTGGCTACCCGCCAGTCGTATGTTTACCATGACCTCTTCCCGGGCTCTATCTAACCTACTACAGTCCCTCCTCGACGACATCATCAACACAATCAACGTCCTCGCCGACCGCGCCCTTGATTCAGTCGAGCGTCTTCTTCTCTCCATTCCTCCACAATCTCTCGGCTTCTCCGAAAAACATGCTCCAGCTGGAGAGACACAACTACCTCCGGATGAAGCCGCCAAGCTCGAGATTGAGCATGGCACCCATCAGCTCGAGACGTTGCTGAACGCGTCCATCGACAAGAACTTTGATCTGTTTGAGCTGTACACCATGCGCAATATCCTCACAGTGCGGCCTGACGATCAGCCGTACATGCGCCTCGCTCACTACGAGGGTCTCGATTTCAACGCCCTTGAAGCTCCCGACCGCCCGACCACCGAGTCCATCACGGCCCTGCGGAGGAGACTGCACGCCAGCCAGAAGCTGCACACAGCGCTCGAGGCGGAGCGGGCGCGCAACGACGCGCTTCTCGTCAAGCTGAGGGCGGCGCTAGGTGTCGTGCCGGGAGGCGTCAAGGCGGAGGAGGGACAGGCACAGCCCGGGTCGGCGTTTGGATTCCTCCGTGATAAAGCCAGTCTGCAGGATGCGGACGCCAACACGCCCATTGCTACGACGACAGAGTTTACCCTCTCTCAACTTCAGGCTCTCCGTGCGCTTTCGACATCTCTGCGCACGCTTCTTCCTGATCTTGGACCTGATGACGCGGACGCTGATGCTGCTGCTGATGAGGATGCTGCAGGCGGTTCAAAGACATGGAGACGTGAGCGGGTAGAGTACGTCGAAGGAGCATCACGCAAGTATCTCGAAACAGCCAGGGGTCTGGAGCTAGGAGCTCAAGGCGAAGTCCGCGATGGAGAGTGGCAAGGCGAGGGACGCAAGATAACACGAGGAGACGTCGAAGGTCTAGAGCAAGTAGTCTCCATGCTGGGCAACAACAAGTCACCAGAGTCAAAAGGTGACGATGGGAAACCAATGGACGAGTCATGAACATCGACATCGTTTATAAATTTGGATTTGGTCATCTTCAAGGATCGGGAAACGGCGTGTCGGCGCAGGATAGGAAAACGGTTGGACCCCCCTTGGTTCATGGCTTTGTCGTCTCTTCTTTTTGCTATGTTACAGGCGTGCGGTCTCTAGCACGAGAAATACATACATTCATCCAGTGAGGACTTTCTACCTCTGATAAACTTGAAAACATGTCTTTTTTACTTGATACATTTCCCTTCCCCTTCTCTTACATAGACCAAAAACATGCCACTTCATATGAATCATCAGTGAGGTAGAGGAATCGTGTCGTTCTTGATCAACCCGTTCCGCCTGGCCATGAACCAAAGATGATGCCTCCAGTACCGTTGGTTCGACTCCAGGTTGTCGGTACTCTTGGCCTTGTGCGCCAGCACTGTGTCAATGACCTTTTGTGCAGACTCGGTCTCTTTCTTCTGCAGCAGAGCGCCCACTAGGTCCGACAAGCACGGCAACGATGTGACAGGACGGCCAGCCTTGGCGAGGTCGTCAAAGATGCGCATGGCCTCCTTAGTCTCACCGCTGATGGCGTGGGCACTCATGACACGCTCCCAGAGTGTCTGGTCACCCTGCTTGACCACCGAGAGCTTGTTTTCCTTGAGTAGCAGTCGTACTCGCTTGATGTCTGGGGGGTCTCGACGGAGGGCACGCTCGACGAGGATCGTAACCATGTGCGGCGTGACAGCGAAGCCGTTATTGCGCATGTGGTTCTGTACCGCGGCCATGGCGTCGTCTGAGCTGCCCTGAATGCCGTCGACCGCATACAACATCTTGCCATATGTCTCGAGGTTAGGCTTGAGACCGGCATCCTCCATATCAGCAAAGATGGAGTGAACGGCTTCCACCTGCTCCTCCGAGGTGGCATAGTCCATCCGCTTGACCACTTCCTCCAGAAGAATGGTAAAGGTAGCAGTATCGGGGTCAATCCCCTGCTGTCTCATGGCGCGTAGCAGATCTGTCACCTTGTCCGTGTGTCCAGCTCGGAGGCTCTCACTGATGAGGATGTTGAATGTTCGGACGTTGGGCTCAAAGCCCTCTCGGCCAGCCCATGCCAGCAGCTCGTGAGCAGCATCTGGGTACAGGTGCAGCATGCCCTTGAAGGCCGCGTTGATGACATGGATAGTAGGCTGCACAGCCTGGGCCTCGGTTCCATTCTGGACTGCCTTCTTCCATGTCATCACCAGCTCTTCAAGCGCCTGGATACCCGCCTGGGTCTTGCCTAGCTCGATGAGAGCTGAGATACGCTCAGTCCAGATGACAATATCCAGCTTTGTGCCAGCCGAGACGAGCTGACTCCATAGTGCTTCGACCTTGACAAGGTCCTTGCACTTCTTCCACCCGTGCATCATGGCCGTGTACGACTTGAGCGTCATGGGCATGTTCAACGAGCGCATCAGGTCAATCGTCTCCTCCAGCCGTTTTGTTCGACGAACCGCACACCACACAAAGATCCAATAGTCGAGGAAGTCGGGGCTGTCAGCCAATTGCTCCCTCACCCGGGGGTTCTGTTCCAGGCTCTTCATCATGTCCTCCCAGATGGCACTCATGGCGCCAATGTTGCGCGCGCGGTACGCCGCCTTCAAAAGCTTGTAGAACGAAGTGACACGGGACGAGGCTATCTTGACAGGGTCTTCTGCCCACTCATGACTCTCAGGTTTCATCCACTGCTCCGCCTCGGTTGTGAGCAAGGTCATGACAGTTGGCCACTGGTTCTTGACGTAGACCCCGAGTGCGTCCATTTTGTCAGCAGGGAAGGTGTGGTAATTGGAGAGAATGGTTTGGATGTTGTCCTCGGTAAGCTGGTGTTTGGATAGCACAGCTCGGGCGAGCACCAACAGCGGAGACAGGGAAGGCCTCTTCTCACGGCCAAAATACCTGACATCTGACGCAACGGCCAGAGTAGCCAAAAGAGCCGGGATAATGTCTTGAGCTTGTGGTGGCGGATACTGTAGGAACATCGAGGCCAGCGCGCGTGCTGTTGGGTTCTTGCTGGAGTCCTGTGTCTCGTCCTTCTCGACAAATCTGGCCTTCTCTGCGTCCTTCAGCACCTCAGGGACCGAGGGCATTGCAAAGCGGAGCTCTTGGTCAACTTCTCCAGGCCGCTTGAGCTGGGAGACGTGCTTCCACATGCCAATAAGCTCATCCCTCATCTGAGTGCGGGTATAAGATTTGTTCTTGGCCTGCGTCATCCTGATACAGAGGTTCAGGATAAGGTCGTTCCGGATGTCGAGGTCGTATTTCCCAAGGGTGCTATACACCTGTGATAGCCGTACGCTGCGTAGGTAATGCCCATCTCGTAGCATCGCCAGGCTTTGGTCGCTGAGGAGCCCGGTGACGGCCATGTAGATGGGCTTGGGCAGTTGGCCTCGGAGCTCCTGGATGCTGGGCCAAATCTCTTCGTCAAAGATCTTAAACTGCTCATGCGTCTTGATGTTCCTCTCCCTAAGCTCCTTGAGCCTCGAGGCGATCTCGAGCTCACCAAGAATAGGAACATTGGCGGGTTTATTGTTGCCGGAAGGGTCAACCACCTCATTGAACAAAGCCAATGCAGAGTCCTCGTGCTTTCTTTTCGAATCCTTCGAGTTTCCCCATGCTCGACGCCGTGCTGGATGCCCATTGCCGGGGTTATGTGGTGAAGATGAGGCTGGCGTGTGCGAGATCGAGGCATCAGCCCTTGTCGAATACAATGCCACAGCCCCCAGCCGCCTTGTGGAGGCCGTGCGGGCTTGCACCAAGCATCTTGAACAGACTATTCGAGATGCATACATGGCGAATTGCCGCAGCGGGCTTTAGTGGGTGAAGATTACAGATGTCGGAAACTTGATGGTTGAGCTCCATTATTTTCAAGGTGAGGTCGGAGTCAAGGTGTGCAGCCAATCAGGTTTCGGTAGTTGCACACCACCTCGGTAATCCTCGGTGTAAAATGTACCGGGTAGCTCTATTGGCATAAGTTATCTCTCACCAACAGTGGTCTTATTGGCATCCATAGCGACTTGAATGTTGAATATTTCTCATCTGATTGGTCTTTTTTTTCTTTCTGAATTCTTATGCAGTCTTAATCTTGAGTATCTAATTGGTAATATCGACTGATACACGCAATTCTCATCTTAGGTACTTCGTATTGAAGAGTTGATTGGAATATCATTTATATTGAACCATCACACATAATCTTTCGCAATAACCCGAATCGTCTCTAGCATAGCAAACTAGTGGAAACAAAGCCCCTCTCACAGTGAAGCTGTAAAACTTCCATCAATCTCCTTGACCTTCTCCACGCTCCTCTTATACCCCTCCTCCGCCTCCAGCCTCTTCACATACGCCGCCACCTTTGGAAACTCCTCTCTCCACGAGCCTCCCTCCCAGCTACCAAACTGGTCCAGCCTGTTCTGCGCTGCGATGAGCGGGAAGCTCATGAGAATGTCCGCAGCAGTCAGGGTGGCGCCGCAGAGGTAGTCGCCGCCTGACGTTGCGAGGTGGCCCTCGATCATGGAAAAGTTGCGCCGCGCGTTGGGGAAGATCCAGAAAGAGAAGATGCGGTTGGCTAGAATGGTTGAGATGGGCCGGATGTAGAAAGGGACGGCGGGGGATTTGAGTCCTGAGATGAATTGTTAGTGTTGAGGTTGGATAGAGGCGGATTTGTAGACTTACCACCTATGATGAGAGCCATGACGAGGACAGGCATCAGACTTCCTTCGCAATAATGCAGATAATACTGATATCTCATCCAAGCCTCAGTCTCTCCACCAATCTTGCCCTCCATTCCCTCCTTCCACCGGGGTGGAATTAGCCTCTTCCCCTCGGGACAGTGCTCAGTGAGATACTGCGTGATGAAACCACTCTCAGCCAACATCACAGGCTCCACGCCCTCGCCTGCAGCGACACTAATGATGGGCGACTTTCCTAGAGGGTGCACCTTCTCAAGCTCTGGCGGGGCAAGCTTGGTCTCCTTGTTGCGGTGAAACAATTCCAGAGTATACGGCAGCTTGAGCTCCTCCAATAGCCAGAGAATGCGCTGTGAGCGCGACTCATCGAGCCTTGAGCCAGGGTCAGTATCATGATAGGAAAGGTACCCGGCATGTGACGTACCAGTAGAGCTTGACCTCGGGAAGTTCGTTTGAAGCCATTGTGTCTCGGAATTAATAAATTAAAAGTGTTTAAAGTCTTGAAATGATGGTTCGGTTGTGTTATGATGTCTGAATCAAAGGAAACAGTCAATAATTCTGCGGATTGTCCTCAGGTTATATATTCTAGTCCCGGTCGATTTGCCCGATGTGGCCGGTCTAAATAACTGTCCGATCATGATGACATCCGATCCTGCGGATCGGCGGTCGGATGCTGAGATGCCGATCAAAGATCTGGTACAGTTTTCCTATTCAGGCCGCTACTCGCTTTGTCACATGTGCAGCCGAATCATTTCAAAACTCCGACGTGGTCTTCCATAATTGTTGTATATCGAGATTTGAACTCTTACATGTCTTGATATTGGCTAGCTGTAGTCTATTTTACCCCCCTTATGCTGCTAGCTCCCTATCCCGAAGCCAGGTGGGACATAAACGCCAAAAAAGCTCTCTTAGACTCCGTCCTGTTCCTGTACCTGAAAGGACAACCTGCCGCCGTCCGCTTCCTGTATTCCCTTGCATGCCATGCTTGCCTTCCTCCTCAACGCATCTCGCTATGCAACAAAACACTGCATTCCATTCCAAAAAGATCACATGCTCAAACTTGCTAAATCATAGCCGCCTGACTCTTCATCGTCGTCGGGACTTTGCTGCTGGTGCCGGCGCTTCATGAGCTGCCTCTCGCTTCCGGGTCTGCTTGCGAGATCGCGGGGGCGGGGGAGGATCACTGTGCAGGTGACCCAACTCCTCCAGGGCCGTCGTGTTCTCCCACTTGAGGCAGCGGTAGTGGGGAATCTCGGGCGTCTTGTCTCGAATGCGAGTGCTCATCCGCTTATGAGACTCTTCCTTCTTCTCTGTTTCGTCCTCGTTCGCAAGATACGCCTTCCGGTTCTCCATGTTTTTAGCGATCTTCTCCTTGTAGTTGAGCAACTCCTTGCGGAGCTTCAGCTCATTGAACCCGCGGGGGTCGAGCCACTTGATGAGCTCATCGACCTGTTCTGGCTCCGAGATGTAGCCCCATTGGTAGGCGTTGAAGACGCTGGTGTCACCCTCTTCCAGGGTCTTTCGCTCGGGAACCGTCATGTTGAACTTGGCCTTGTACTCGTCCTGAAGGTCGGTAGGTAGATCAATGTAGCCCTCTCGTTCCAGCTCATCGGGTCCCTGCACCCAGATCAGACCGTTGGCGTAGTCGGCCGATGCAGTCGAGCTGTCGGGAAGACCGCCGTATGGCATGCCGTTGCGTTCAAACCAATAGTAACGGTTCCAGAATCGATCCTTGCCGAGAACTCTGGTGCGTGGGCAGTCGGCCTCGCGTAGGTCGTTGTCAATGACAGCAATCTCCTCCTCGCACTTCTTGACGACATCCTCCTTCTTCTGGATGTCCTTGAGTAGCTTGATGAACTGTTTGGACTGAGTTGGGCCCTTGGGGGTCTTTTCAGCCTTTTCCTTTTCCTTGCGGGCCTTCTCCTCTTCTCGCTTTCGTTGCTTAGCCGTCAAAGGGCGTCGTCGTTTTCTCGTTGACACTGGGTCGTCCTCTGTTTCTTCGCCATCCGCCTCACGGGAGATGTGCGAGTCATCCGCGTCAGCCATCTTGACATCTTCTTCATCTTCGCGGGGATTCAGTGGTGGCGAAGGCGGCATGTTGTCCGGCAACATCAGCTTCTTCTGCTCGTTCAAGTGACGGAGCTCCTCAACGCTATGTGCTTCGTTAGCAAACAACTATCAGTAATTGAAGCAGTTTCAACTTACGCTTGCTTGCGCTGCCGCTGCCAGTCAATCTTTTCCTTGCGATATGTAGTCATGGTCTCACTGCAATCCTCCATGTAGCCTCGGATGGCCTTGGTCTCGGTGGTCAACATGCAGATGATCTGCAGCGCCTTGACACGGTGGTTGACGTCGAGCTCAGCGTATCGCTGTCGCACTGTCTCCTGCGACGGTTCGAATCCAGGAGGCACCAATTCAAGCAGAAGTTCCTCACAAGCGTCGTATTGGCGCTCGTTCTTGGACAGCTGATGAAGCAAACCAACCATGATGCGTTCCCAGCCACCGTTGACAAAATCGCGCTTTCGGAGATGCTCAATCCAGTCGTAGTCCCGCAGAAGCTGTTCGGCGCGGTGCTTGGTTTCCTCCTCGGTTTCCTTCTCAGCGGCAGCGGCCTCGGCAAGCAGTCTCTCTGCCTCTAGTTTGGCAAGGCTGCTACGAGTAGCACGTCCAACGGGCTTCGGTTCCGGTTCGGGAGTAGGCTGTGCACTTGTGTCCTCGTCTTCCTCCTCGTCGCTATCCTCTTCCTCAATCTCTGGGAGTGTGATTCGAACTTTGCCGCCATCGGCTTCGGAATCGACAAGAATTTTGAGGACCGAACAGTGAATCTCGTCGAAAAGTTGGATCGGAACCTGTTCAGATGCAGCACACAGAGTTTGGACATAGTCGTCAAATGTGAAGGAGTCCAGCTTGAAGACCTCGCAGTAGACGTTCAGGGTGTCCCAGGTCTCGAGCAACAGGCCGACGGAAGACATGTCGATGTTCTTAGATAAGTCATCGTGGGTAGAATCGCCGTTTTGAACTTTGACGGGCGGATCTTTACAGAGGAACTTCAAAGCAGGGCGCTTTCGATCGGTTCGAGGCTCGAGCTGGAGATCCTCAATCGGGTACTTGGGAGGAGGTGGTGGCGGGGGTGGTGGGGGGGTTGGGTCGCGGTGGATGGGAGTCTGAATGCCATAATCCGAAGGGGAGCTGAAGGGGTTGCTATGGACGGGCATGTTCACAGGCCACTTGAGTCCCTTGGATGCGGTTCCCTGCTGACCGGGTTTCACCTTGCTCTTTGGAGCTGGCTTAAGCTCCGGTAATCGCACAGGACCCGAGTGCAGGGCAGCAACCAAGTTGTGACCGTTGGTGTCATGGTTGATGTGGGCTCGCTTTTGCGCCTGAAGCTGCTTGCGCTCCAGAATCTTGGTGTCGTAACGAAGGTGAGGCGGTACGCGCGTATCGATGTGGTACTGGCTCGCATAGTCATGCTTGACCAACCAAGGCGCGCCGTTCCACGCATCGCGAGTCACTGTCTTCTTGATGAACGATCTGAGCATGGCCTTTGTAAAGACACCCCGGTCTCGGCAAATGTGCTCGTCAGTGACGATGGTCTCCTTTTCCGAGTCCTTGAGGTTCACGAGGTAGCGAGTCGTAGGCAGGGCCTTGCTGCCGTCTGGAAGAGCACGAGGGCCAAATGTCGTCTTGTCGCGAACCAAGCCATGAACGCGCTCGCCGCCATCCAAGGTTACTGTAACCTCTTCGCCAGGGTAGTAGTCGAGCTTGAACTCCTCGTAAATCTGGTCAACGAGGTTATCGAGGCGAGAAACGGTCTGAAACTGCACTCTACGCAGAATAGGACCCTTCAGTGCCTCGGGAAAGGAAGCTTCGACTTCTTTGCCTCCAGCAAGCTAATTTGATGATCAGTGGGTGCACGGTGATCGAGAGAATCAAAGACTAACCTCGCTCTTGAAAGCTTCAAAAAAGGTCAGGCCTGAGTGACCGGTGATTTGATCATTGAACCGACGTTGATTGTAGAAATCCATGCTAAGAAGGTGTAAGCTACAAACGTCTCCAGCAGAAGCGCATGAACAGCACTTACCGATTTAAGTAATCCTCATAGGAAGCAAATATCTCCCCCGTTTGGGGGATGTACCAGACCTGTCAAGAATCAGTTCCTGCGCGAAGCAAGAAACCCGGTCGAAGTTGACGGGCATACCTCGGCATTCTCATCCTCGATCTCTGCGGGAGGCAGGAATTGGACGGGCTTTCGCTTGAAGAGAACCTGGCGATGGTGGTTTAGCGGGTGCGCGGGCGGCCAGAGCAAAAGATCGGGAGGGCATACCATTGTCTAGTGATGCTAGGCGCAAGCGGTCGAGAATGAAGTGCAAAAGAAACCACCTGCAAGGCTGAGAAGCAGCCTCCCCCCCACTAACAAGTTTGTCGTTGCAGTATGTCGCGACGGCGCGGCATGGGCGAGGGTGAAAGATGCGGTTGCGAGACGCGAGTGCGGGCGGTCGATTGTTTGCGAGGCGAAATTGGTGCCTCGTCGCTCGTGTGGGCGGATCGAGGAGAACGCGGGCGCGCGGGCGGGAAACCGGGGGTGGGTGCGTCGCGGGTTTGATCGAGCCCGGGACGAACGACTTACACGGCGGGAGGTGGCCGAGAAGGTGTGAAACGGGAAGAGATGCTTGATATTCAAGTATCTCGGTAGGGGGATGTCGTAGATGTGTGCGTCGAGGTAGAGCACAATGGTGGACGAGGATGCCTCGAGTACGATAATGTAGGAAGAAAGAATGGAGGAAGGAAAGGAAAGAAGCGGGCTGACGCGACGGGAGCAACGGCGAGGTGGTCCCGGGGGGAGGAACTAGAAAAGAAGGAGCGAGGGTGGGCGCCAGCGTAAGGTACCTCGAGAGATGGGGGTGTACAGTGGGTCGATTGGGAATCTGGGAGTACCTGTCGTGCCACTGTCGGTACAGGTGGTGATGCGGTATCTTGAAGGTACATCTACTTCCTTGTCAGTGCCGTCCCAGGTACCGCCAGCATCAAGCATGGTCGTGCTGAACACCAGGGTCAACAGCTCTACCATGGGATGCACACAAGCTGGGATCAAGCTATAAATTACCCCATCAGGAAGATTAAACTCATTGAAGATGATTATAAGATATATCCGTTTGCAGGCCGACGACCCGTTTGTGCCTGCTCAAAAGGGAACATTTTCCCAAGAAAAAAATGTCCCAGATTTTTTTTAGCCTTCCCGGGCACCCACGCATCAACGTACCCCTGTCACCCGCGCGCCGGCACCACATCCTCCTCGTCCTCCGTCCTCCTCGCCTTAGAACCACCCACTCTCCTCTCCCTCCACTCGGCGCGACTGACCCTCGCCGGCCAACAAAACGGGCGCCTCGTAGACTTTTGCCCACGTTCTTGGGCTCGTTGGGATCGTCATCTTCCGCTGCATCCAATGAGCCCTGAAGCATGAT